CAAATTTATTTAAAAACAAACCAGCCAACCCACTGAAAGAGCATCTTATACTGAAATGTATCAGATGCATATTGAGAGTATTAAAGTGTTACTTATGCTCTTCAGAATATAAAAATAAAATTGAGTACATGGGTTGCAACCTTTTGTACCACAAAAGAGGCAGCACAACTTCTTAATTTTTACTTGCATGCTTAAGTTGGGGTTTTGAAAGGTAAGAAACCTTAAAGTTTGTCCAGTCCCCTTGAAATTCAGTGTGGTACTCTTGCATGTAATTTTGTCAGCCATTGAAAAGGGTGAATACATTTAGTAGTTCAGTCCTTCCTTACGGTAGGAAGAAATGCTTCAGTAACTGGCATTTTCATTCTGACAGGATAATCATGTATTTATGTTGGACATTAAAGAAATTCAGTGATCCTTACTCTGAGCACTGATGAATTAAAAACAATACCGAAATTACAGGCTGGAAGGTTGTTTTTTGGACATTTAGCTGCTGACAGGAATGTTAAATGGTGAAACTACCCATGAACCTAATGTCTTCCAATGTGTTGCTAAAACAAAGGAGTTTAATTCTCAGGGATAGCACACAGACTAAATACTGCTCTTGGGAGCCAAATGTTGCTGTCTTCATTGTTTGAATGCTTCAGATGCAGGTTTCCTATGTGTTTTAAATGTTTTCTAGTGATTAGTGGATGGCACTTTCTCTGAAACTTCTAAAAATTAAATGATACACGTAAAGTATTGATAAAGCCTAGCAGCTCACATTGTTTGATGCAGGAACATATTCCAGTGTCTCTATATAGTTTATCTTTGACCATATGTTCTTAATAAGAAAAAAACCCAACCCTGAGTTGTCCACAGTTTCTCAGGTCACTTTTATCTGGGCCAGATTATTGGGCTTCTAATATTATTCTGATTGCCCATAGTATCTGAGGAGGCCCAGTGGGGCAAAAACCGTTTGCTCTGTTACAAATGGGCGTCTAATGGCTTGGGCTGCTCAGGACACTATAATTGATGTTACCTTAGCTTTGTTTGTAATTGTAAAAACAAATTAATCCTGATGTATGTAATATTTGAACTGCATGTCTGTCCAGTGTTATTCTCTCCATTATGAAATCAGATCATGTGCTCTTTTTGGTGTCTCTGTTAAACCCAGGAGAAGTTGCTTTCATTTTAGTTAATTCCTAGCAAAAACAATTCTGTGTCATAAGACCAAATTATATTTGGCTATCAGGATCAAAGTATGAAAGGTGTTGGGGAGGGGCATTTTGTTTTAAAAAAAAAATAATCGCTATTCAGCATGCTATATATAAAATGCTTGTGTGATAATATCTTCCCTGAAGTAATTGGCCTGTATCAGGTGAAGATGTGGGATGACTTCACATCAAAGTAGTGAGAATTTTTCACTGAAGCAGTAAAACATACTTTGTTAATGGGACCGTTGAGTATGTCCTGATTCATATCACCCAAAATGTGAAGCTGGAGAGACTGAGACTATTGATATTTTGAGGGAATACTGCTGAAGAAACTTTCAGAACTTTGAAGTTTGGTAATTAAAGTGACTGCCAACCCTTTAGGCTTTTAGCACAATGCTACCCTCTAGTGGAACATTGTTGCATTAAAAAAAACTGTCAGTGAGCAACAAGGTTTTAATTAGACGCGATAGACGTTATGTAGGATATGTGGGTACTTGTACAGCAATAATAAAGTTGAAAAACATGTGAGGAAGCCACTTCTATAATCTATGATAATGAAATGGATATTTCTTACTCTGATCATTCCAAAATCGTTGCTTTGCAAAAGGTGAATCAGAAGTCCTCACTGAACAGCAATTCATTTGGGGTTGATAGAATTTCGTTCAAGGATGCTTTTAAAGTCAGTAGTGTTTCACGCAAGTCGGAAGTGTATGCTGAGTATCTAAATCCTTGTCACGCTTTGTTTGGGCTGTTCTTTTGGTTGGTTGCTTGCTTTTGTTCCCTGCTTCAAAGTGAACCACTCCAGACCATGTTTTCTTCTTAAAACCTGTGATTAATGTGGATGCATTCAGTTTAATCTGACATTCTTCAATCTGTAGCATACTTACTGTATTTGCAAATGTAAGGTAAATGCAGGGAAATGTTGGATAGACATCTGGTGAAAGACGTGCTGTGTTCGACTGGAATATGTTATCTTTTAGTGTTTGGGGTTTGTGCAGGGAAAAGAAATGAACTTCTGGAATTTCAGTTGATGTAAAGATTAAAATAGAGAAAAATTAAAACCAAATCAAAGCTTTCGTAAGAAAATAAGTGTTTAGTAGAAGGAATAGAGTGGGAGGAGATTATTTGCTTGGGTATTTCAATTTCCAGATCCCAGGTTGGATAGATGGGTGGGGGTTTTAGCTGCCAAGTAATAGGCTTGAAGAAGAATGGGAAAAACTGTAACAGACTTGACTTTAAGACTGTTGTGAAAGGAAGAATAAGTGATGTAACTTAAGGAAAAGAGGTCCTACTGAATTCGGGGGGGAGATCTTGGGATTTAGGCATGGGTTTAGCTCCCAAACTGAGGCTTTTAATTTAATTATCATTTTCCCTTTTGTGGTTTTCATTCTGTGCTACACAAAAGGATATAAAAATAACTTGGTGCATCCCCTGCTGTCAGCCTGTTTGTTGAAGGCGAGGATGTGGTAATTGTGGCAAAATACTAACCTTGAGAGATGTAGAAAGCATGCTGCCCCTATAACTTTGCTGTTCTCTTGGTCTGACTTCACCAGCCATAGTGATGTGTTATACTGATGCTAGTTTTTGTGTTAGAATGAGATTGTAGACTTTCTGATAATTAATTGTAAGAAGCAAAATTCATCTCTTGTTTGAAGACCTTGTACATTTCCACTGGAAGTGTTCTGAAGTTCTAAATACAAACATTCTGTTGTGATTTATGTTTGGCTGAATTTCTCTGAAGTTAGTATCACAAAGTGTTTGAGGGTTGCAGTTTGGAATGATATGGAGAAGTATTAGCATAAAGAAAACATGTAAATTAAAACTTCTTAAAAAGATGTCTGTATTCAAGTAGGAACAATCTAGATGTTTGAGAGGACGTGTGACAGGAGGAGTTTGACTGTTGCAAAGAGCCTTACATCTGCATTAAATCAACTGTTTTGAGCTTAAAAGAAAAAAGTGGGGAAAATACAGCTTACTGGAGGATGGTGGCTTAATATTTCATCTGGAAAGCTGTGTCTGACAGACCTTAGGTTAAACTTGTCTGCTTATTTCAGTGTGATGTCTAACTTACTGATCAACTGTTTTCTAGAAAGTTTAGTAGGCAACAGAAAGACTTACAGTGCTTCCAGTAACTAAGAAGTGGTTTCTGTATAGCATGCATTGTTGGGGAGATAGCAATGCTGCATAGGTAAAATTTTGTAGATCTCTATATGGAAAAAAAGCAAAGAAATCAACTGAAGCAATGAAATTAATTCCACAGAGTTAATAAGCAGGTATTCTCAGTGTCTAAATCATCATGCACTCAGTGTCTAAATCATCAAAGGTTGTTACAGATCCTTCAGGGTTTATGGATGAAGCTTCAGAGAAAAGCATGTCAAGTGAGAGATTTTTAAAAAAAACAAACTTCGAAGGTAGTAACAGGGCCGTCCTCAAAATGTAGTTCTTCTAGGCTATTAACAAAGAATTTTTGAAATATTTTCTTCTAATATAGTACTCCATATAGAGTGATGCTTTCAAAGTAGATACTGAGTGAGGCAATTAAAGAAATAGCCTCAGTATTCATCTACGCATGGTGCTTAGACATTAGAAGTGATTAGATAATACCTTAAGCTATCCCTGTAAGTAAAGAAACTAAAGGAAAAGAGAAAATTTTTTCCACTGTTCATCTAAATGTGATGATGAAATTGTTTGAATAAGTAGAGATGTAAAAGAAATTACTTATTGTTGCATTCCTGTATTGTGTGTGGTAAAGCTTCTGTTCAGACGCTACAGAGCAGAGTAGCACAGTAAAAAATTTCTGTAATTAACACCAGTCCTCTGGCAGTTAGACTTAAAAAAAAAAAAATAGGGAGGTGGCTAATGTGAATATTTTGTTCTGGCAGTTCTATTTCTCTAAAGTTGTCTGTGTTCATATGAAGCTATGAGGAACATGTCTTAGCTGATGCTGAAAGAGGATGTTCATAAAAATCCTGTCTTTATTGTATACACTGGTTTCTTTCGTGGAGGCCCTTAATTTGCTACTGTGATTGAAGGAAGTTTGTGCTAGACTTGACAGTTTACAAGATGATGATACTTCTGCACTAAACTGAATAACCAAGAGGGAACTGAAACCATGCAGAGAAAAATTAAAACCTTTGGAAGCTATAAAGCCTTTCTCTAACACATGCAGCTTGACTACCTTACAGTGCAAAGATTGAACTTGAGAAAGAAATAGGGTGGAGAGAACTGGTGCAGCTGACTTCAAAAAACACCTTAATTTTTTTCTGTTACTTAAAATGGAAAAAGATCCTAATTTCTACCCCACGTATAATGCCAGGGATGGCTATGATGTTCTTCAGAATTAAAGTACTGGGAAGTGTGAAAGTAAAGGCTGCAAAGCTAGTGGATTTTTGTTGGTGGTTGGTTTGCTTGTTGTTGGTTTTTCCTGTTGATCAGCCATTATACCGTTTAGCTTTTAAGAGTGTTTGGCCCAAGATTCCTAACTGAACAGTCAACATACCAGTCAATACTACCAAGTAAAGCTGCCTGTAGGAAGGTGCGTCCAAAGAGATTTTAGAACTTAACCTATTATTATTTCAGGTGCTTGAGTGTGCCCTTATTTTACTTCAGGAATTCAAGATTCTGATTTTGGGAGAGCAGTGTCTTTTAAAGATGTAAATACACTTAAAAATTGAGTCTTGTGTCAACTGCACGTTAGAGATGGCTGGCTCCTTTGGGTTGTTGCGAGGCAATAGTAACAAATCTGCCTCTCTTTGGAAAAAAAAAGTGCATTTATTGCTGTTTTAAAGCAATTTTGTTTGTTTACAGGTGTCAGCTGTGATGCATGTTTAAAAGGAAATTTTCGAGGTCGCCGATACAAGTGTTTAATTTGCTACGATTACGATCTGTGTGCAACTTGTTATGAAAGTGGTGCAACAACAACAAGGCATACAACTGACCATCCAATGCAGTGCATACTAACAAGAGTAGATTTTGGTAAGTGATAATTTCAAACTCTAGTAATTTGCTGCTATGTTGTGTCTACAAACATAATATGGATTTTCATGTTTCTACTTATTAATCATTTCCCCCAGTAGCACACTGAAAATCATAGAATCGTTTAGGTTGGAAAATACCTTTAAGATCGAGTCCAACCATCAAACCAACACCACCATGCCTACTAAACCATGTCCTGAAGTGTCACATCTACACGTTTTTTGAACACCATCAGGGATGGTGTCTCCACTACTTCCCTGGATAGCCTGTTCCAATGTCTGACAACCCTTTCAGTAAAGAAATTTTTTTCTAATATCCAATCTAAACCTCCCCTGGCACAACTTGAGGCCATTTCCTCTCATCCTATCACTAGTTACTTGATAGAAGAGACCAGTACTCACCTCACTACAACCTCCTTTCCTATAGTTGTAGAGAGCGGTAAGGTCTCCCCTCAGCCTCCTTTTCTCCAGGCTAAACAAGCCCAGTTCTCTCAGCTGCTCCTCCTAAGAGTTGTGCTCCAGGCCCTTCACCAGCTTTGTTGCCCTTCTCTGGATGCCCTCCAGCAACTCAGATGTCTCAAGCAAGCTCTTGTGTTCTAAAAAACAGACACGTTTGCTTTGATTTTTAGTGTACAAGAACTGATTTGTATGGTTTTTTGACGCATATATATTTTTAATCTTGTTTTGGTCTGATAACAAGAGGTTATCAGACTAATAAATATACTTCCAATTAATTAATTAACTTCCAGTTCAGAAGATGTGACAGCCTTCTCCCCCCCCCCCCCCCCTCATTTTC